TACCAGCTTTGATCATTTGCAATTACTACAAATGTTCACTTCTTCGTACTATGAACATCAAAATTATTTCATTTCTCCTTAAATAATGTTCTTGCACCTGTACAGGAAATTTTATCTAGCACTAATTGTATAGTTTTATTGTTGATATTCACCCCATATGTACCAAGTGTTAGATTAGTTTTATTGATATTAAAGAAAATTCTCTGTATTCCTAAACGGAAGATTTTATACACACAGAAGAAGTATACTTAACAACAAAATTATTTTCATTTACCTGTGTATAATATGACGCAGGTTTTTTTCAAAAGTGATGATTTTGTAAATATTGTTTAACATTTCACAGTGGTATCATACTTTAACTTTGTTTCAACATGTTTATTTACTTTTGACCTTATTTTTTTTCCCTTATTATTTGCATTCAGGTATCACAGATCAAAGTTATTCGTTAATTGTGTGTTAATTTACGTTTTTTGATTGAGTTAAGCCTTCCAATTGATAATTTATAGTGTGTCTTTCTATGGTGTGATGTTATACTATTGTTTCAGAAAAAGGGAGAAGGTTTGGTACCATTAAAACGGTTAATCCCGCGGCAAATGTTTGCACCTGTCCTAAGTCAGGAATCTGATGTACAGTAGTTGTCGTCTGTTTATGTAGTTCATAAGTGTTTCTCGTTTCTCGTTTTTATATAGATTAGACCGTTGGTTTTCCCGTTTGAATGGTTTTACACTAGTAATTTTTGGGGCCCTTTATAGCTTGCTGTTCGGTGTGAGCCAATGCTCTGTGTTGAAGGCCGATGCTCTGTATTGACCTATAATGGTTTACTTTTATAAATTGTTATTTGGATGGAGAGTTGTCTCATTGGCACTCATACCACATCTTCCTATATCTATTGACTTGGCACAGTCATCAAATGTTAATAGCTTTTCATGGTTTTTGCAGTTTTATAATGTATAATGTATAACCTATAATGGTTTACTTTTATAAATTGTTATTTGGATGGAGAGTTGTTTCATTGGCACTCATACCACATCTTCCTATATCTATTGACTTGGCACAGTCATCAAATGTTAATAGCTTTTCATGGTTTTTGCAGTTGTATTTTTCTTTGGATTCAATCACATTTAACCTAGTAATTTTCTGATCTGCGGGTAGGCTTGAGACGCATTTCAATTCTGTTAAACAAAGAAATCATGGAATCTGCAGGGAAAAATAAAGACCACAATCGCAAAATGGTTCTCTATGGCAGCAAACACAGGGTATGCAATTATGAACTAAGGTCAAATTTACACGACATTTTATCCATCTAAAATACTTTGTATTGGTTATAAAAGTTTCATCCATCCCAATTAATGTACACTGGTTATAATATATTCATCCATATGTTTTAACTTACATTTACATTTATTACAAGACGGGAATTTGAAAAAAAGATTGATCGCCAATGAGACAACTCTCCAATATAGAGTGGTTTGCACTTGACATGCTATTTGTTAAGATAGACACAAGCAGTCTTAAAAATTGCTGTTTAGTTAAACAACAGTACCAATAGTTAATTTATTATAATTTAATCAATGGCGAGTTTCCCCCAAGGGTGACTGGGGAATAGAAGTATGGTCACCATTGGTCTTCCTCCGACCGGCAGTAAAACCCTTGCTAAAGAGAGGCGTCCGTTTGGCTGTGCGGGATGTACAAATTTGCAGCCACGTCCGGTCAAAATGGGGACGTTAAATCCGATGCCTCGTTTAAAGAGAGTGCCACGCTCTTTGCACGTTAAGAACCCTTGCAACAACTCTTTGAGGGGTCCGTAGGTGACCTGTTGCAAGGCTAAACCTCTGTCCCTATCCAATATACCCTCATTTCCCGTGGCAGTCTAAATTTCTCCGACCTTGATCCCGGACGCCCCTATTACAGAACCTACCTATTGTGTTTATTGTTAATTTGTTCTCGTCCTGAATATGCATGAAATATTTGCCACTGGACGTTAAGCAGCCAACAATCAATCAATCAATTTAACTTCAAAAAGGGCGAGGGCTATGTTTTTTTTTCTCAGTCAGAAATTTATTTAGTTTTTCGACACTATCGATGAAATTATTTTTTCAAAGTTTAACACTATATGGGGGAAATCTGCAATCAGAATATTTTTTTTTTTGGTCATCTGCTTGACCAGAATATTTATTTTCATCAAATTGGGGATCAGAATAATTTAGTTCGAGATTGCATGTTACAGGCATGAAAATACGGATTTTTTTTGTTATCAAATTTTGATGTTACAAAATGTTCGAAATTATTTTAAATTAAAGAATGTATCTCCCTCATGCAAAGCAAAAAAATTAGGGTAGAAATATCCTGTGGTGTTTGTCGTTCATGGAATATGTTGTTTCGACGATTGTATAATTTATTTCTACGTTTCTCTGTTATGAATATGCTACGTGTGTTTGAACTGTATTTCTGTAACGTAGTGTTTTAGCGATATTTTTTAACATTGTCCTAAAGCGGGAGGTTTGGCATGCCATTACCAGGTTCAACCCACTATTTTTTTCTTAAAATGTCCTTTACCCAGTCAGGAATATGGCAGATATTAGGTTTTTGTTGCACTTCGGTGTTCCTGTTGTTCTTTTGTTTTCTTCTTATAGTTGATGTGTTTCTCTCGGTTTTGGTTTGAAACGCGGATTTCGTTATTTCGTTTTAGATCAAATAAGTAAGGCTAGAAAATGGAGACCATTTTTAAAACAACCCACAGGCAGGAATAGTCAATTTATGATGAATGATGTGGAACTTTATAAAATTTCATGTACATGTAACTTTAGAAAGTTGATAGGACTACCATGCAAGCATATTGTTTATGCAAGGTTCCTCAACGATATCGATTTATATGGTGCAGAATTATGTGTAAGCAGATGGACTCGTTAATATTATATGGAAAACAGGAGAGTTATCAATTCAATTCAATTTAATCAGTCCAATGGTGTCTTCAAGCAAGACACTTTTAGCAACGTTCAGAACAAAGTTAGCAATGTTACACAGGTGATAGATCTATAAGAAAAAGCACTGTTTTATCAGAGAATCAACTATATATGAAGGTCTTTTTTTGCTGAGAAATTAGCAGCTGCTTGTTCCCTCCCTGTGCTGGAATGGATGTTCATTAATTAAACGTTCTTCAATACCTGAATTACATGCATCGGCAGATATTTGTAAATTATTACAGTTTGTAGTTTGAGGTTATATCGTTTAATACTCTGACCAATGTAATTTAAAATGACATCGGAATGGCTTTCCTCCCGCATGTAAGTGCGGCCAGCACAATCAGATGACAGTGTGATCATCACTAAAGCTAACGTATATATTAGTATATTGGTATTCTTCTTAATCAATATAAACGTATAATAACAGTTTTTTTTTTTCTATTTCTATAGGAATGTAATTTTATTAAGCTGAATATGTAATGAAGAATGTCAGGTTGAGATTTTCTGGTACCGATTGTGATTTTCTGGAACAATGATGAGAAACTTTCAATCAGGTAAGTGTCAATCGGATATGACCGACAAAATTCACGAATCTTCTGTATAGTGGTTGTCATTTAAACCTGTTTAAAGTTTCGACATTAGTTTATATGGTGCTCTGTTGGTCTATTACAGATACTAAAGAGTGGTTTTTAAAGTCGGGCGAACGTGATGTAGAGTATAGCGATGAAGATTTAAATGATTCATTGATTGTTGTTTACTGAACGCCCAGTAGCAAATATTTAATGCATGATCAGGACGATAACAAATTTAGAAACACATATAGCTAGGTACTGTAATAGGGGTCGACTGGAATGAAGGGCGGTAAATTTGGACCACCGCGACTGGAAATTGAGGGTAATTGGGATAGAAATTAAGCCTTGCAACATGCAACCTACTCAAAGAGTTGTTGCAAGCGTTCGTTACTTGCAGAGGGCGTGGCACTCTCTCTACACGAGGCGTCCGATTTAATGTCTCAATCTGACCGCACGTTGCTGCGAATTTGCACAACCAAACGGACGCCCCACTTTGGCAATGGTTTTAGATGGTCGGAAGCAGACCAAGTTTGACCAAATTTCTATTCCCCAGTCACCCTTAGGTGTTACGAGGTGTCGGATTAAACGTCTAATCTGAAAGGACGTTTCTGCGAATTTGCACATGCCGCACAGTCAAACAGCCGCCCCACTTTGGCGAGGGTTTTACTGTCGGTCGGAAGTTTGGCCATATTTCTATTCCCCCGTCAACCTTGGTGTGTCGAAGATTTCAAATCTAGCGGAGATGACAAGTCCACCTCTGAAGATGTAATTCAAGTGCTGGAGATGTAAACCTGGACTTAATATCTTTAGCGCTGGGCTTAAAATTTTCGGAACACCAAGGTTGACAACGCTGGGATCTATACTTTTAGCGTTAGACTGATTCTCCAGTGCTTGACTTCATTCTTATCTAAAAGATTGTACAGATGTTCCAGAACTGTTTACAGAAACAGAGAAAGAAATAGATTGTAATATCACCAAAAAAGTCCCGATGAATATGGACTCACAGCAGAAATGTTAAAAGTGAAACATCAGAGCTGTAAAAAAATGGATTGCTCAAACACTTGACCCCTCCTATATCTTTTGTTAGGCTATTGTTTACCAAAAAATTGTTTCGATTTTGTTCAACAGTCAAACATTTACTGTGCAAACATAAAAAAACAGTCTGAATTCACAGTAAACATAGATATAAAAGTATAAAAGTGTCAATTATTTATCCAAACAATGGACTTATATTGTACATAGAATACCGATACCTGGCTCTGATTTATAAGTACAATTAAGAGAATTTATAACAATGAGGAAAGGAAAGTATCATTCAAAGTGTATTACGTGACATTACTTTTTGAAAAAATATAGTCTCCAGAAGTTCATTTGTGGTCCAGTAATCATGCATTACTTGTTGCTGGACTAAACCCTTAACAATACTGTACTGCTTTATTGTTATAGTGTTTAATTTTTTTTCTAGGTATAAAGGTACCACATTGGATACCTTTATGGATTAAATGTAAAAGTAATATCGGATAGAAATGTATCATTGTTTTCTTTGAGATTGTATCATGGTCAGATCAGAAAGAGCAGCACGATATTTCAGATCTATTTCAACTGTAATCATAGTTGCCAGATATCATTGAGGCTCTTGATTGATTGATTGATTGTTGGTTGCTTAACGTCCAGTGGCAAATATTTCATGCATATTCAGGACGAGAACAAGTTCACAATAAATACAATAGGTAGGTTCTGTAATAGATTAAGGGATTGAGGTCGGAGAAATTTAGACTGCCACGGGAAATGAGGGTATATTGGATAGGGACAGAAATTTAGCCTTGCAACAGGTCACCTACGGACCCCTCAAAGAGTTGTTGCAAGGGTTCTTAACGTGCAAAGAACGTGGCACTTTCTTCACACGAGGCATCGGATTTAACGTCCCCATTCTGACCGGACGTGGCTGCAAATTTGTACATCCCGCACAGCCAAACGGACGCCCCACTTTAGCACGGGTTTTACTGCCGGTCGGAGGAAGACCAATGGTGACCATACTTCTATTCCCCAGTCACCCTTGGGGGCTTGAGGCTCTTGATAGTCGCCAGTCGGCATAATACAACTCCTCCGTCCATTATGGGATTTGAAGTGTACGCTTTTGTAGGAATCTTAAAAAAAACGTGAGGAAAAAGAACACAATTATAATGCACCAGCTATTAAAAAACAGACAAGATGAAAAAGAAGGAGCAACAAGACCAACTTCTTGATCATCTTTTGTTGATATTTAAGCTTACAGCATTGCACAAAAATTTGGATACAATAGTAGACATGGGTGATGGTTTCAGATCTGTACGTTCAGCAGAGTATGAGCTGCCAATTTTTTATAAGACTGACAGAGTCAAATACTCTATAGGCTGTACACATCTTATAACAATGACATATGGTACAATGCCTGCTGACATCACTAAAAGATTGGTTGTAAATAGGTGCATAAATTTACAAGAAGGAAGAAGCATCAACATGGCTCTTGGTGAATATGTTAAACTTCTAAATAGAAACAGTGAAGTTGCTGCAACCAGATGCCAAACTAAAGACAGCATTCTTTAAAGGTCAAAGGAATTTCCTCACTTGATCATTTGGTATAATATTATGATGCAATCGGTGAGAGGCGAACAAGAGAGGTTTTAATCATCCTCCTTCCTACCAAAAAGATGTAGAGAAGGTTGCAAAAGATTTATTCGAGATAAAGGTATTTTTCTATTCACCTGGGAGGACAATACAATTGGAAGAACTTGGTCTGGCCAGACATCCATTCAAAGACTCTGCAAAGGATTTGTCAACATTAATTTTCCGCCATAGGCCTAGAGTTCCTTTCAGACGACTGAGAGATCGTCACTATAAATAAATTTGCAAAAACTTTATCAAGCCTGGAATATTCATATTTAGAGGGGGTACGTGTTATTTTCCTTGGAAAAAGTCATAAAAATGAAACATACCTATGAACAAAATTGAAATAAATGAAATATGGTCAAATTTAATTTTTCTTGTACGTAGTATTTTTTAATTCCATAAGCCATAATACTAACATTTACCGAGTTTGCTTCTTTCAATAATAGAATCAGGACAATAAAGATTCAGTGAATTTAATACTTTATTAGTTTTTTTAGGTAAATTAAGTCAAATTAACTCTTGTCTTTGGAGCTTGAAAAAAAGTATCCATAGCAACTGTCATTTCGCAACACAGTTATCGTTATGAAAATTTAAACAAAAATCAGACACACAAATTATTTCCTTAGAAACAAGATGTCGAATTGATTGTTTTTATAGACATCTACCTTTATACCTTATATAGATACCATTGCCAGTCAATACAACCAACAGTTAACAAATCATATTAATATTAAATAGTTTTACACTTACTGGAAATTTGAGGATATGATTGAAGCTTTAAATTTTCTCCTAGATAACATATATGTACGTTTCGGCGATAAAGTGTATCGTCAGGTAGTAGGTATTCCTATGGGCACTAACTGCGCCCTTTTAATAGCAGATTTATTCCTGTATTGCTATGAATCTCAGTTTATGACCAAACTCAGTAGAGACACATCATTGTTACATTTGGTTGATACATTCAACAATACCTACCGTTATCTGGATGATATTTTTTCGTTGAATAATCCAGAGTTCTCTAAATATACTACCGAAATTTACCCAAAAGAACTAACTTTAACTAAATCTAACATAAACAGCATCAGTTGTCCTTTTCTAGATTTAGACATTTCAATTTCTAAAGGGAAACTCCATACTAAAATTTACGACAAAAGAGACGATTTTTCATTCCCTATTGTTAATTTTCCTTTTTTAGACGGCGATGTGCCTTTGGCGCCATCATACAGTGTTTATATACCCCAACTCGTTCGGTATGCCCGTGTGTCTAGTGATGTCATAAATTTTAACGAACGTAATCAATGCATCACTGGTACTTTATTAAGTCAGGGATTTCGTTACCATAAATTACATAAAACTTTTACTAAATTCTTTCATAGATACAAAGATTTGATTAGTAAATTTGGCTGTACCTGTAGAAAACTTATTAAAAATGGTATTTCACATCCTAAATGTTATGGTAATATTGTACTTAAAGCGCGGAAATCATTATGTGATCCGTGTAAACTCATCGAACCTTTAAACAAACTTATTAGTAAGGGTTATCGTACCAATGTTGTAATTAGATCTCTGAATATAGTTTACATTGACACTAATATCGATTTTGTCATTAACAAATTAAAACATAACTAAATTTGTGTATTTTCTTTACAAACGGGATATATAGAGACACACACACGTTCATTTTTATCTATAAAGAAGTCACTCCTAACTATCCTACTACCTGTCGATACATTTATTTTTGGCATTGCACAAGTCATGTCTTCTTTGACTGTTCATGACGTTAAAATACTAAATCCCCTGGATGTATTTAGTTGATTTTAGTCTCTGATGCATGATTTTTTATTATTAATTGTTTTGGCTTTTAACTAGCATTCAGTAACTGCGAGTACTCTCAAATCGTACTTTCTTTTTAATTTGACCTGTTGATAATATTTGTAATGCTTTTTTGTTATTTAATGTTAACATGGATCTTGTCTATATACCAGCTTTGATTATTTGGTATTTAATTACTACAAATTTTCACTTCTTCGTACTATGAACATCAAAATTATTTCATTTTTCCTTAGATGCTGTTCTTGGGACCTGTACAGGAAGTTTTATATAGCACTAATTGTATATTTTTATTGTTGATATTCAACCCATATGAACCAAGTGTTAGATTAGTTTTATTGATATTAAAGAAATTTCTTGGTATTCCTAAACGGACGTTTTTATACACACAGAAGATTAATTGATTGTTGGTTGCTTAACGTCCAGTGGCAAATATTCCATGCACATTCAGGACGAGAACAAATTAACAATAAATACAATAGGTAGGTTCTGTAATAGGGGCGTCCGGGATTAAGGTCGAAAAAATTTAGACTACCACGGGAAATGATGGTATATTGGATAGGGACAGAAATTTAGCTTTGCCGGTCACCTACGGACCCCTCAAAGAGTTGTTGCAAGGGTTCTTAACGTGTAAAGAGCGTGGCACTCTCTTTACACGAGACATCGGATTTAACGTCCCCATTCTGACCGGACGTGGCTGCAAATTTGTATATTCTCCACAGCCAAACGGACGCCCCACTTTAGCAAGGGTTTTACTGCCGGTCGGAGGAAGACCAATGGTGACCATACTTTTATTCCTCCAGTCACCCTTGGGGGAACACACAGAAGAAGTATACTTAACAACAAAATTTTTTTCATTTACCTGTGTATAATATGACGCAAATTTCTTCAAAAGTGATGATTTTCTATAAATTGTTTGAAATTTCACAGTGATATCATACTTTAACTTTGTTTAAACCTGTTTATTTACTTTTGACTTTAATTATTTATCCCTTGTAATTTTTTATTAACTGTGTATTTGCATTCAGGTGTCACAGGTCAAATTTATGCGTTAATTGTGTGTTAATTTACGTTTTTTGATTGAGTTAAGCCTTCCAATTGATATTTTATAGTGTGTTTCTATGTTATGATGTTATACTATTGTTTCAGAAAAGGGAGAAGGTTTGTTACTATTAAAACGTTTAATCCCGCTGCAAATGTTTGCACCTGTCCTAAGTCAGGAATCTGATTACAGTAGTTGTTGTCTGTTTATGTAGTTCATACGTGTTTCTCGTTTCTCGTTTTTATATAGATTAGACCGTTGGTTTTTCCGTTTGAATGGTTTTACACTAGTAATTTTTTGGGGCCCTTTATAGTTTGCTGTTCGGTGTGAGCCAATGCTCCGTGTTGAAGGCCGTACCTTGACCTATAATGGTTTACTTTTATAAATTGTAACTTGGATGGAGAGTTGTCTCATTGGCACTCATACCACATCTTCCTATATCTATTGTCGTTGGTAGCCCTCCACTTGTTTGTTTGTTTCTAATTCCGTGGTTTTTTTTTTAAATGATGAGAGCAAAAAAAAACAGACACAATTGGAATCCAGCAGACAAAATTGCTTAAACATGAACATACAACACAACTTTCTAAAAACTTCAAACTAACATGTTCAGAAATGATATTGCAGATGTAATTAAATTCACCGTCGACCTAAACGTTCATATTAAGTAAAACAGGGATACAAGGGTCAACATAATGTGTGTGCATACTTAATATCTGGCACATCTGTTGGATCATTTGACCAATCTGACTTTGAGATTTTGAACTGGTCCTTATTGTCAATTACTTAATTTTTCTCGATATCGTGCCCTCGTGACAACCTCCACACTGTGCTAATGTGTTACCTGTAGTATTTCTTTAGTCAGACTTAAATGCAGGCTGAATCAATACAGGAATGAAACAGATTAACTTGTAAAGGGGGTCTCATTGGGGGGTTCTGATCCCGGATCCCGCTTACTGATTTGTCAGATTCCCGTATCCCGCT